TGGCCAACAGAGAGATACAGCCGCCATTTAAACCCAAAGTGGTGAGTGACGCCACGAGTGTGTGTGAGACAGAGTCAGTCGTCCTCAATCCCGGTATAAATGGGATATAATGTTGATATGTGCTATGATATTATACATTTAGTAGAAAAATCAGTTGAGAAACTATTCATAGGTTACATATTCATACAGTAATGTCTGCTCTTGGCTAATCCAGCAAATGAAATTGATGCAAACATCTAATATTGCCATAAAGATTCCTGCTAATTTATACTTTTCTTATGTGATTAAAGCATCAAAACTTCCCTTTGATTGAAACAATCTTACATCTCTTCGGGGGCCAGTGCAAAAAGAAGGAATCATTACATCAAAGACGAAAACTATTTCGGTGCACATATGAGTTTGTGAAGTTGACATTTAGGCAACAGGATTATTGGACAGAAAGATCAAAAGAGCACCCGTCGTCGTTCATGTTAATTCATGTTAATTCATGGCATTTCTTCCTTGCTTTCAACTGGGTATGGTATCACTTTCATTAATTAAATCTGGTAACACATATCTGTAAGGGTGCTTTCATCCGCTGAGCGAGAATGTGATGAGAACTAAGGCAGGTCTCAAACATGATCATTTATTCAATAGATTGTTTTCATCAACCTTTAGCTCAAAAAGCATTTCTACCTCAGCCAAGAGGAAGATATGACATATAAGTTCAAAGAAAGACACAGAAAGAGATGATGGATGACGACAGAAGCTTAATTAACAGGTATAACACAATGACCGCAAAACATCCAGTGGTGCGTTTGAGTGTTTTTGAAGGTCTCGTCACGGAATCGACTTCATTTTTGCTCCATCTTGTCTCGCTCTGAGATAAAGAGGACTTTACTTCAACACCGGTCAAGACCACACCTGCGGGGATATCACTAAAGTGTCTTTACATTATCTCATTTATTTGTGAAAATCATTACTGTGATTGCTCATAGAACCTTACATTTACATTATTTTATCAAGACATTTTTCATGAGTACATGACTTGGTCTCGGTTTCTTGACTACAACATTGGCGTGATTTATTTCCCTCACGCTCCTGTTTAGTTTTCTTTGCAATTGCTGTGATGCTAAAAACGGCAAATCACCAGAAAAATGTCAATCTGTGTCGCATCTTGAATGCATCACTGTGGAAGAATTGAAACACTTCCTCAGTGACCCTTTAAGTGTGTATGCATGAATGGGTGTGTAACGTTCACCTTCATCTTCACCCAGTGTGATGGTTTTATGCACCCGTCAGAGCTCGAGGCCGATCCCAGCTGCAGACACCTGAGCCTCCTCCTGTCACCACACACAACACTCTGTTTTCAGATTGTTGACCCTCGCGTCCCCCCCCAGTCCCCTCGCTGCCCACAGCGCCCGAAGCAACACACGCGCTGCCACCGAGGATTATAAATAGCTCTCTGAGAGCAGAGTTCCCTTTGCTTCCACACAAAGGCCCACAATAAATGCAGGGTTACACAGCGGATGTATCTGTCTCCATTCACAGAGAGGGGGGAAAGGAAAACATTGCTATAAGTGGATCCATCCATTCAGGGGGGGCTTTGTGTGGCGTGTCACAGTTGTGCGCTCATACACAGCGTCATGGCCTGAAGGGACTAGCAAACAAAAGATCCATCTGAGGCTTTATGGCTTCTGTGATATTACAGAAGATGCCTAATATGCTGATCCGTCTCCGAAGAAAGTGTGCTGCAAACAGCAGGCGCTGAAATCCACTGGCAACCACAGATATTCTTTTGCTGCGCATTACTCAATCTAAAGGGTTTTGTCTCGCTCTCTTGTAATGGTGTCGTGACTGTGCTGAAACTGTGCGTGACACACGGCAATATGCATGTATATATATTCAGCCGGAGACACACGACAGCCTCGGGCGGACTGCACACTGATGACCTCCACTGTGGATGCTTAGGGTTTGCTCCTAATCTAATTATAACTTCTGCCTGGCTACACATCGGGCTTCGACATTTTCCAGCACCACCTTCCCTCCGGGACCGTTAGGAAGCTTTCTATTAAAAGACTCATGAGGAAATGTCTTTTAAATCACCAGTCCACAGTTCAGTTGCTGCCTTTTTGTAGTTCTTTGACGGTACATCCTTTCCACATCTGATATTCTATTTATCTTTTTCAGTGCGGCAAAGGAGCAGAAAACTTCGACAAGTTTTTCACACGTACACAGCCCGTGCTGACCCCTCCCGACCAGCTAGTCATCGCCAACATCGACCAGAGTGAGTTCGCAGGGTTCTCCTACATGAACCCTCAGTTCATCCATCCTTCCCTGCACAGCGTTGTATGAGCGGAGAAACACACGGACTGTCGCTGATTACAGGATCCTTCCAAACTCCGACAAACGATCCCTGCTGTCAAAAGACTCAGGCCATCCTCAACAGTGTTCTGTCTACTAGTTATCGATATCTGTGCACAGAGGTTAGGGGAGCAGTGTTAAAGAAAAAGGACATGGCACTGATATTTTTGCATCATTTTTCCCCCTAACTCATATTCTTCTTTATTCCGTATCTGTGTTTATCCAAACCTGCAGCCTTTTATTTTTCTTGTGTATGAATGTGTCTATCAGTTACTTTCTTTTCAGGTATTAAAGATGCAAGATCTTTTCCTTTCCCGTGTTCCCCATCGTACTACGCAACAAGCTGCAACGCACGACAAGAACGGAACGTGTTTTTTTCTGCTCTGTCCGGCTTTATCTACTTCTGAATCGCTACACGTGTATTTTATATTTATATACTAAAAAGAAAGAGGTAGTGTACTGTTACATGAGTGCCAAAGTAGAAGAAGAAGAAAAAAATTCTATTGCAGTTCTTGTAATGTTTCCCCCCCTCCCCCCCTCTGGCCTTCCCAACACACTCAAACCCCTGACCAGGGGCCGTTTCTATGTGTTGTTTTGTAGGACGTGGAGCTACAGTTAATCTAACTCAACACGGAGAAACAGAAGCACATTATGCTCACAGTTACAAGCTGTCGCAGCCTTTTCAACGCAGTGGAGTTCAGTTTATAGGGTCAGAAAACTGTGGATTAAATAGACAGTGTTTTTAAGTACAAACATGCTATTTCCATATGCACAAAGCAGATCTCTGTTGCATGCTTATGTTTCTGACTCTGTATGATCAGTAGACTCTAGGACGCAGTACACGTCTGGTATCACTGTAAAGTTTAGTATTACGATATAAACTATGTTAATATATAATTGTTGTATGTTTTTTGAATAGTCTTATTCTCAAGAGAAAGTTTCGATTTGTTTAAGGAAAACAAGTTTTGTTCCTGTTTTATGTTCCGCTTAACTCAACTTTTATGTCCAGAGAAACCCCTCTATTATTCTTTTTTTTTTTGTAAATATGTTTCAAAGAGATGTTGCAAAAAGAGAGGTTACTTGCAGATTTTATACAACAAACTGAATGTGCTTTTACTACCGTAGACAGTTTGAACCTTTCTATGTTTAGATTACCCCTAACAACAGTATATATATACATATATATATATATATAAAACGTTTGGCTGAATCTTTGGTAGCTTTGGTATCAGCAAACCTTGTATTTCCACTATTTATCCATTATTTTCTACTACTCAGTGTCATGGCGAATATGCAGCACCTACAGTGCGTGAAATGGTCGAATGCCCTCTTGCCTTGGTCGTCTTAGGGCCGACTCCTTCTGTAACAAATTCAAAACCCAGTAACGGTACAGTAGGAGGATTTTGGAGCCCTCGTGGCTGAATTATGTCTATTTTTTTCCTGCGTATATTGTGTGCATGCGCGAGGCGAGGCCTGATCCAAGCATGCAACAGCCCCCTGCATGGTATAGAGATCGTGGAGCATGGAGTTTCTCCAATGTTGTTGCACAGAATGAGACAAACCAATGGGCATCGTGCGCTTTTCTACTAATCGTCTCCCCTCATGTAGCCCGACATGTTTGGCTACAAAGCTGAATTCTAAACAAATATCTGTAAAATGCTTCTGTTGGCTTTTTTGTTTACTGGTGCCAATTTTGAGTATTTCTGTTTCCAGCCAGGTATGTCCTATTTTTACTTTTTTTTTTTTTTTTTGAGTGGCTACTACTTGAGGCACACGATGCTACAACAATGATGTTTCATAAAACTGCCAAATTTACTCTTAACCCCTTCATTAGTTACTTAACACGTCGGCTGATGGTGCAGCTGTCACATCTGGACCAAACGAGATTTTTAAAGTCAAGAGAAAACTGAATGTTTACATGTCTCACATTGAGAATCTTTATCCGAGGAGAGGAAGAGAAAAAAAACAAAAACAACAACTTTGGACCCATGACAGAGATGTTCACGTCAGGCCAGTCAGGGTACAGCACCACTACAGTTAGAGCCACAGGGATCTTTGTGTGTGTCTTCTCTCACTGCCCCTGCTTTTGTTAACCTGATTCTTCTTGTTCCTCTGTTCAGTGTGGTACGATGGATACTGTGTATAAATAAAGTATGAAAAATATCAATCATCTCTGTTTCATTTTGGAAGGGGGTCAGAGATCAATTTCCTGACAGCTTCAATTCTAACGTGTGCATTGTTTGCTGTATTATTGTTCTTTAAAGATCTTTAGATTTAAAGAGGTTTAAATTGGGCTACACTTCAATATTTAATGTGTATATTTAATGTGGTTATGTTTTGTTTTTTTGCCGTTTCATGTGTGGAAGAAAAGAAAATCCAGCAATTTAGTGTGTGAAATATTTTACATGTGCTTTTTAATACGGGCTTTGGCCCAGGAGGAAAGGATCGCACTGTCAAAAGCAACAGATTAGAATATAGACAAACACATTGGCCTACAGGTACTTCCTGTATTTTCTTTTCTCTGCACACTTGCTTAAACTTCCTGTCAGAGCTGAGTGGAGCTGTCCTTGGTCCTAAAACACTACAGGCATATCTTGCTCTCTCTCTCCCCCCCCCTCTCCCTCTCTCTCCCTCCCTCTGTATTTTCATTCAGCCAGTGGAGCAGCTCGCTCGCTCTCTCTCTCTCTGTTGGAGAGTGTTGCACTGACGCACCACTGCATCATCTTGCTCCTCAAAGATTGTCGCGGCTTCATTTGGCAGTTTTCTGAAGGGATATGCGATCAAATCGTCAAAGAGCCGCATCATTTTCTACCAAGTCGCTAACGACAGAGCAGACGGTCTTTCTCTGCAGGATTTAATCCACAACTTTCAGCACAACATTTGCTTCAAATGCAGGAAACACCACGCTGAGACAGATTAAAAACAGGTAAGAGCAAGTGTTTGCATGTTGCGGTCTCATTTTTTTTTTCACTTTCTCAAACTCCTCTAATACACTGGACTGAACGACGTGTTTCACATATTCACTGGTAAGTTTGATGGTTGTTGTGAGTTTTATTACGGTTGTTTCAAATCCCTGTCCTGTACTATTCCTGATATGTACTACTACAGCTAATATCTCGTTCAGTTGTGGTATTTTATTGGAATATTAGGCTGAAACTGTAGGATATCGGAGACTGCTGCAAGACATGGTGCAACGCATGGATGTCATGTTAGTCTCTACAGGGAGTATCATGCTAATATAGGATTGACTTTGATGTGTTGTCATGAAACCTATACTCAATATTTTCAATGACAATCCTCCTAAAGTAACTGTATAGCCGAATCATTTGCAAGAAGGTTGTAGAAGATCAAATGTCTGATGTTGGAAATGATATTTAAGCACCAAGGACAGTTAGATCATTGACATCTGATGCGAAGGAATAAAGTATTTCTGTTCTTTCGTATTCAACTTTTAACTTATTGAAAGGTCATTTTTAAAGGAATAGCTCATAACTAAGATCTGATAATGGGATCTGCATGTGGCAAGGCTCTGTAGTCGTGATTACTATTTTCACAGTCATGTGGCGGCTCATCTTCTCACCTGGAAGTCACACTGTGTTTGCACATTAATGATGACTTGATAAATCGTTTGATGGCTTTTTTAAAAGGAAAGTGCAGCTCTGCACACTTGTGAACACTACAAGGATTATATCAAATGAAATAATTTCCATTCTAAATGTATTTAGCGGGAATAATGCTGCTGAAGAGCATCCTGGTGGCCCAGAGGTTTGAGAGGTTTTCACCGAATCTCTCTGAGTTGAGTCTAGCCATGCTCTCAAGTGTCTCTTCAAAAAAAGGTTAAAATAATGAATAGTACCGCACATAGGGACTGACAATAAAGAGGGAAGTGAATATGAAAGCAAGAACAAGAGGCCTCTTCAAAGTAAGAGAGGTGACCTTGCATGTTGAACGATTTATGTGACTAATATCTGACCTCCAAAAGCAAATTCTCACTCTCCCTGACATATGAATGCTTTTATGAATGTCCAACCTTTTCGAGGGATTCTGCACTGATTCATGGCTGGAAAATGTCAAAACCTGGTCTTGGATTTCAGATAATGTGAGCGTTTGTATTCACAGCGGTAGGCCTGCAACACGTTTAATGTCCCTCAGTGTGGAGGTTCAAACAGGCTGATCGTTGACTCACACTTTGTTATTCTTTCGTGGCAAGTTGGACAGAGTTAGCAGTGGCATGGACTGAATTTGAATTTATTGTGACTATAAAAATGTAATGTTGGAGAGAAAGTGGACGAGTCAAAGATAAAAAATACTAAAAGTTTAAGTGGAAAGTTATTTATTAGGTTATTAAAGCTATTCGAATTTCTCTCCACAAATGTCTTTCCAAATGTTTTTATTTCACACAAAATAATTTTTTATGTTTTATTTCATAATGCCACTTTTCATCACAATCAGAGCCAGTTATGTGATTGTTTTTCCTGTTTGTCTTGATTGAGATTATGATTTGTCTATGAAATTGAAACAGTGAAATGAATATTGAAAAAAAACTTAGGAAAAAGATAAATGAAAACTGCTGCAATAAAATAAAACTAACCTGCAATAAACTCTATAGCAATCCAACAGTTCATAATAATGAAAAAAATATTTGATTATTTCAACATGTAATGGTTTTATTGCATCCATAATGTTGTCTGTATTGGTCTGTTCTTGTGTATTTATCTGTTTGATTACAAACACACACTGGGTCTCCACATCAAACTTCCTTTACGTTTCTACCTGTAATCCTTCTCTTCCTCCAGATTGCTTCTTGGGTTTTTCTTGGATTTTAACCACCACTGCTGGAAGTTTCCCCCCGCTGTCACCATGAGCGCGTGCAGCAGGAAGGCCCTGACGTTGCTGAGCAGCGTCTTTGCAATCAGCGGCCTGGGGCTGTTGGGAGTGGCGGTCAGCACCGACTACTGGTTGTACCTGGAGGAGGGCGTCATTATGCCTCTGAACCAGAGCATCGACATCAAGACCTCGCTGCACTCCGGCCTCTGGAGAGTCTGCTTCCTGACCGGTGAGTGACGAGTCTGGGGACGTGTGATTTATCTGTGCTTCTGTGATTGGACAGATAGTCGTGTGTTAAACAGTGTGGCGGCACAGATACATGTAATGCTGTAATGATCTTTACTCAAGGATTCATTTCAACTGTGCAGCGTCTAAATATGGCAGCAGCAGTGAGGTGATCCTGTCACACCAACACATCCTCACTGCATCAGCCAGCTTTAACATTCACACAGAATGACATTCACAACTACTTTGTGTGTGTGTGTGTGTGTGTGTGTGTGTGTGTGTGAGAGAGAGAGTAAGTGTGGAGTACAGGTGGCAGAGTGAGAGAGAAGTGCAACAGAGAGATAGAAAGTGTGTTTGTATTTCTTCCTTTTTTCAATCACACACTGTCAAACAAGGTGCATTCAGTGTAAAATTAGTCCTGTAACATTACACACACAAACACACACACACACACACACACACACCTACAAGTCTTCAGAGACAGATGTCATCTCATTGTGCCGCATAATTAGCTGGTGGATATCTCCAGCTAGTGTCTGTACGTGACGATGCTGAAGTGATTATAATAACTGTGTAGCTGTCTTTGCAGGACGTTATGTAACTCACATTTAAGAGAAAGAAAACAAAAAACGTTTTCAACAAATTTGAGGAAAACAGAGCATCAAGGTTTGAAGGAGAGAAATACAGGAAGTGTTAATGATGCAGGATGACCACTCTGGTGGTCTACGCTTCACCTCCTGGTTTCTTATAGATCTAAGGGATCTCCGATTAACAATGGCTAGAACCTGATCCACCACAAAGCCCCATTCACTATGTGATGAAATAGTGTGATACTACTACGGTTTCCTTTAATGCATAGTAAATATAACAGGTTTTTTTGTATTTTGTTGACATCTTGAATTTTGTCTCTAATGTAGAGTTTCTACTTCTTGTTCCTATCTGCTGTTGAATGATACATCTTCTGCCTCTTTGGACTTCTTGTCTGCCAGTTTTTGGCATTTCGGTTTTTTTTCTCTGACAACTCTCCTCGGGACTTTCACGTCTCCTCATCTTCGCCTAAATTTTGTCTCAAGGTTTTTGTGTCCTTCCTTTTCAGGTGAAGAGTCCGGTCGCTGCTTCACCGTGGCCTTCGTCATGCCCATGAACGTCCAGCTGACGTCAGAGTCCACAGTAAACGTGCTCAGTGAGTGACTTCAGGCGAAATAGCTCAAGGTGCCCCCTTGAGTTTGTTCACATGAATAGGCTGGGGGGGGGCTTTTCATGGCACAAACCTGTGTAATAAGATTGTGCTTGGAAATCACTTGAACGCAGCCAGACAGATGAGTCTGAGTCATCCGAACCCTCGTGTTGTTGCTCCTCTCTGGAATACTTATTACATTTTCACAGACAATTCACCTCACAAGTCCTTCAGGGCAGCTCAGTGTAAAACCTTTAGAGAAGGATAAATCCACTCCAGCAAGTCAGTGTAATAATGGATATTGTAAAAATCTGGCAAAAGAGCAGACGATAATTAAGTGTCTACATTTTATCTTTATTTCAAGATCGACTGCTCCTCCTTCCTCCCAACAGAACAGCCATTACTTTCATGTTGATACACTCTTTTTGTCCTCTCCTCAGAGATGATCCGCTCCGCCACTCCGTTCCCTCTGGTCAGCCTCTTCTTCATGTTCATCGGCTTCGTCCTCAACAACATCGGCCACGTCCGGCCCCACCGCTCCATCCTGCCGTTTGTATCCGGGATCTTCTTCATCCTCTCGGGTACACTCATCTTCTCTGTCCTCTCGTCATGTTTCTGTCCTCCTCCCCTTCTTGGTTTTATCCAACCCTGATGTTTTTTCTCCGTCTCTCAGGTCTGGCTCTGGTGGTGGGTCTGGTGCTGTACATCTCCAGCATAAATGATGAAATGCTGAACAGGACCAAGAGCAGTGAGGCCTTTTTCACCTACAAGTACGGCTGGTCCTTTGCATTCGCTGCCATCTCTTTCCTGCTCACTGAGGTGAGCGACTGAACAAACGGCTTGGACAGATGTTTGGCACTGATGTGATCGTGGCGCGTGAAATACAAATCGAACGCATGAATCAAATGCATGACATCGCTAAAGTCAGGACACCTTTTTGCACCATCGTCCAAAGATGTTAAAAGTCACGCAAAACATGCAGCATGAATTGTGACAGTCAAATCTTGAGTTATTTACACAGAAGTACACCTAAATATGACAAAGCATGACATTTTGTAGTGTAACTAAAAGGAAAACAAAAAAAGTGATTTAATGCACGAAGTTGCTTCTGATCATTTTTTCTCTGCATCCAAAAAATGTGCTCATGTCCTGGACTTTGTAGCTTCTGATACTAAAATTAAGTTTTCTCACAGGTTTAGGTGTGAATGAGCATTCCCATAAATAACCTTTATACTAGTGTCCATTTTATGAGGTATGCCTACAGTCCAATATAATCAATAGAACTGTTCCGTCATAAAATTATAAATATAGTATTATATCTCCCTTCACACTTAGTATCAAACACACTGAGTAGTAGAAAGAAGTGTTAACTTGTAGGCAGGCTTTGATACATGATAGATAACTGAAGATCAGTTGAAGAAAAACTATGAACTTCAGGCTGAAACGCTCACTGGAGCAGATAAGACAAAGGGGAGCACAAAGACCAAATACACCTTGAAAGAATGGGGATAATGAAAACGACAGACAGGTGACAGCAGGGTTAACGAGACACAGGTGAAAACAATCAGGACAATCACACAGACGGGAAACACACACAAAGGAAGTGAAGTATCTGAAACCAGAGGCAAAGTTGATTCTACCTAAATACTGACTGGAAACAAGGCAAACATAACCTTTAAGGAGATGGATGACAGAAGTGAGAGTGTTATATAGAATCATGAGGGTTTACTGCCCTCCAGTGGTCAGATACAAACTGCAACAACTTGTTACTTATTTAACACACGTAGTTTCAATGTCAGTACTAATAGAAATACTTACCACTTATTATTAAAGTGGTGTAAGGTATATAAATAACACTTTGGGTAATTACTTTTAAAATGACCAGACTGAAGCCATCACAAACAAATTAGCATTTTAACAACTGTTTTGTGCTATGGAGACTTGTTTGTATAGGAAATTAATTTATCTTATATGAAAGCACTTCTGAGCTCATTATCATTTTTTAAATATATTTGAAACCAGTTCACTTTCTTTTGCACGTGTCCTTTCTGCACACCGCAGAGCGCAGGCGTCATGTCCGTCTACCTGTTCATGAAGCGCTACTCAGCGGAGCAGATCTACCAGCGGAGCCACCCGAGTTTCTACCGCCCTCGCCTCAGCGACTGCTCCGACCACTCGGGCCAGTTCCTCCACCCGGAGGTCTGGTCGCGTGGGCGAAGTCCCTCCGACATCTCGAGCGAAGCCTCGCTCCAGATGAGCGCCGGCTACCCTGTTCTCCTCAAATGCCCCGGCTATGATCAGGTCTGCTCCTCGCCCTGCTGAGGGGGTCCGCAGAGGCCACCTCGAGATCACTACAGGGTCACTGGATCTATTAGGGCCACAGGGCCTCATGAGTTTTCATTCAAGGAGAAGACACAACTTAGATATTTAACTGTGAGTTTGCTGTTTTTTTTCCAGGGAGGAAAAAGATGTGTGCAGCTCTGACTGTGGTGTAAGGACTTTGGAAATATCTCCATCTGAGCCGCTTGTGGCTGTTTATAGGGTCTGATAGGCGTTTTGGGGAGTTTGTTATATTAGCACCTACAGTCTGCAAGGTTTTAGGAAGAAAAACAATACATGGTGATGGTGTTATTCAAAAAAAAGTTTAAATCTGGTGTATGTTAGATTACCTATTGAACTTCCTCTTGAAGAGGAAGAACAATGTTCTGTATTTTATCGGTGTGTTTTACCCTGCAGTGCCTCATCGCTGTTTTCTTTTTGTGGATATCTGTGCCTCCCTCATTTTGCAATAAATAAATGCTCCTTCTGCTTAAGAACATTCATGTCCTATGTCAGTATTCATGTGTCATGTCACACAGGAAAGGACACGCTCAATACGTCCTGTCAACAAGCATCCAGCCTGCTGAAGTGTTGTTGGGTTTGCTTGTTGCTTTGCATCTTAGTTATTGATGTCATCTTGACATAACAGTAAGACATGATGAAAATGTTAATTTCTCTTATTGGTTTTCTATAATACGTGCAGCTGTTGGACATTACAATATATATATATATATATTTAAATGAGAGGTGATGTAAAGATCTGTAAAATAAATGTCTTCACACAGTGATTCTACATTTATCCACTGGGAGGCAATGTCTGTCATTTTATCTTCAGCGGTCACAGTTTGTTTAAAGCTCCTCTGGCAAAACAAGAACAATTTAAACACTTTGTGAGATTCTCCACAGTATTTACTGTCAGGCAGAACAAATGTAAGTGTTCAAGTACTTTATGTCTTCAGTTGATCCAGTGAGTTGGTGGTCAAGATGGATTTTACATTTATAATCTCATTGTATAAATCCAAAGACAATGTCATTTTTTTGTATTAAACACAAACGTTACTCTGTGAATCTAGTGTTTTTGCAGGTATTAAGACACAAACACTGGCAGAACTATTTGTGGCACAGTCATTGAACCGTGATACTGAACCATAAGCACATTGTCTTCCTTACACTAAGTTTGTTATTCTAAAACACACATTTTTGCAAATAAATACACACGGGTATCTACATTAGACACATCATTCACAACTAAAAGCCTGCGTGTGTTGTTTGCTCAACACTGCCATTGAAATAGCACACTCGTCAATCGCCTGCACCCAGAATGCACCTGTGAAAAACCTGTAACCATTTAGATCACTTAATCAGAGCTTGAACAGGATTCAGGTTTGCTTGTGTGCACAACAGTTCAGGTCAATTCTGGAGAGAGAGTTAGAGAAAGTAATTGTGTCTGATACTCTTATAGTAACAGCATACTACAAAGCAAAATGACAAAGACTCACAGTAGCTCATCTGTGTGCAGTTATCCCGTGGAAAGAGCAATTTATTTGGTGTTTGTGTATGAAGTTGTGATGCCAAAATACCATTTTTAGTTTTTATATAGTTTTTAATTAGGTTAAAACAAAACTGTTTTGTGCTTAATTGAGAAAAACTGTAATTCTACGAGGCTTCCTTTACTCTAATCCTTCATGACTAAATGTATGTGGCTTGTATTCATAAATGTATATGTCTTCTAATGTTATCATAATTATTGACTATGACTTGTTTAAAAATTAAAATGAAGGAAAGAAACCAGTAGAAGGCGCTCTCTCCCCAGTCATTGTCCGTATCTTCTCTCCCAGTCTGTTTTCTCTCAGGGACTCAACATGTTGTCCTTTAACTCTCCTATTACAGCAATCTACCGTTTATTCTACCAGGCTGAATAAAACAGCCTGGTAGAATCCGTCTGCTTGACGGACGACGACATGTTATACATTCGGAGATGCTCGTCACCTCACGAGAAATATCTGTATAATTCATTAACGATAGCTCAAATTTTATGCAAATAAGTAGGTCAAGACAAGCATGAATAATAAATACACCATACATCTGCTGTCAGCTTTATGTATATTTTATATAGATACACGTAATGTACAACGTGACCGATAGCTTTTACAGAGAATATAAAAGTTTATGTAACTATAAGCCCACACAGGGCGGTAGAAGATAATATTCTGCCCTGACCACAAGGCTTTCATTTTATTTTACAATCACATAGAAAACTACTGGTGTTTATAGTCTTTGACATCATCATAATTGATAGTATCATCATCATCATCATCATCATCATCATCACGTCGCTATAATCATCACCATTAACATCAAACATCATTTTCACTATAATCTTTATCATCATCATAAATACAACCGTCTTTCTCACTCGTCATTCATGGCTTTTTAAACAGCATCGTCCCAGTTATCGACCAATATCATCCTCCTCATCATCATCATCATCATCATCACCATCATGTTTTTCTTATGATTATGTTTAAGGCTTTTTGTAAAGAAGACCCCAAACTTCAGCTGATGCAAAACTCTGCCGGTAGGCTCAAACATGTTACACAGAGTGTGCATACGACAACAAAGAGACCAGAAAAAACCTATACATTATATATACACACACACACACACACACACACACACACACACACACACACACACACACACACACACACACACACACACACACACACACACACACACATACATAACTTAAGCATACGTTGTTTAACATTTACAGGTAGTATTAAACCTTTTCACAAATGAAAATAAATACAAAAATTATAGTTGGTTATTATTTATATGCTTTTTTTTTTTTTTTTTAAAGAAAAACACAAAAGCAAGCAAGGATTCTTTAGGATTACGAACCAAATGCAAACAGGTTCACAACAATACATTGACCTTCACTGACATAGGCCATAGACGAGAGGAAAAACAAAGCTTAATTGGACTGGTACCCCGATGGGCCATTGCACAGCCATAGATAAAACCTACCCAGTAGACTTTTTAAAGTTGAAATCCTTAAGAACCTGAAATTCTGACTCTATTTCTGGTCAGCATTCAATCTGCAATATCCAATTTATGTACCCACATTCGGGAAATACCTCTCTAAATATGACTTTTTATTAATAATGGCAGGGTCCGCCATTCCGCTGCTGTATCCACATTAACTAAAGGTTCACAGGGAAAACATGCATGCATGTTTCCAGCATTACTGTGTTGAATTTTATCCTGTGGATATTAGCCATATATATTAGCCATACTGTTGAATTTTTTACAAAGGAGCAATGGAGCAAGAAGGAGCAGCCACAGTGAAGTTTAGCTGCAGACGAAAGGCAATCAGATTACAGTTACAATTATTGTCTTCTTCATTGTAACAATGCGAGTTGTTGGGCTGCACTGTAAACTGACACCTTAATTGCTCTTCTGTTGCAAAGTGGCTTCTAAAGGTTTATTGTAGTATTACAGCACACTTGCCATCTTTAAATCACGGTTGTGTCACCAAATCAACCGGTAATGACATCTTAAGGATCACAACTTAAAGTCCAATAAGGAAGTAACATCTCAAGCCTCGGCAAAAGCTCCTTTTCTATGCAACTAAAATAAAAAAGTATGCACATTTTCAAAATTCTCTGCTCCACACAAATGAGTGAAATCAGCCCAGCTGACTCAAGACTGCAACGCGTTGTTAGGAACCTAAATGTAAGCCAGCGCTGTTTTCTGAGGTTACTCTGTGCAGGGCTTCAGCCACGGCACCCGGAGAGAAGAATTCAGCACCAGAGTGAGATGACGACACGGTCCAGGTGAGCTTATGCTGCACTGATCTACTCACCAACTCCCAAATATGTCCATTTGTCTCCTCTTCCCACCCTCCATCCTCACATTCTACTCCCTGTCTGGCCGAACCAGACATCTGAACTCTGACTTTGAATTAGGACTTCTTCATAAAGCACAGTGGAGGGAGCGCTTGTATCACTTATGCACCCATAATGTAGATACTGTGTGCATTAATAGCATGCACACCACTGCATACACACGCACACACAAACATATTGGTCTATAATAACCCACATGCATGCATGTGCACCTGAAACATGGCAGTTGTGCTTTAGGGAGACGTAGAAACGTGTAATGACCATGAGAGGGAGAGGTAGGGGGTGCGTATGAGATGGAGGAGAAACAATCGGCCTGGTTGCTTGTTTGTGTGCTGCTCCATGAAAGAGTCCACAGATCTGTCCCCTCAGTGGTGTGTAATGTCTCCACGGCAAGTGCACATGACTTGTGGACAGTCCAGGAGAGAAACTGAGGTTTGTATTCGGGTTTAAAGTCTTTTGGGGGGGTTTGACAGCCTTTTCTGTGGCGAAGCAGCTGCCCTAGAGTGTGTAGTTTATGTGTTCATGAACGGAAGGAGAGAGAGATGGAGGAGCTGGAGGGTTGAGAAGACTCTCCCTCTTCACTTCTTGTTGGCGATGCGTCTCTTCCTGGTGGCCAGCATGTCGTAGAAGGGGTCTCTGCTAATGCTGGCCCTGGAGAGGAAGCCAATCAAAGCACAGTGATGAAATAAATAACAAGGCCACATGAGAGGAGGGTCTCCAGCATCTTTGATATGGAAATGTAGGCACATTTATACAAACCCCTGCCTTAACTAGATCAAAAAAAAAAAAGTTTGTGCAGTGACCTAGTTTGGTTTCCATGGTTTCTGAAGAGGAACCCTCCTTCTCCCAAGTTTTTTTCTTGGTATTTGGGTTTTTGCTGGAACCTCCTCCAGAACTCGTAGTAAAACAATCACCCACTTCCCCTCTCGCTATCCTGCAGGTTTAAAGGTCTGAAGGAGGGCGAACAAACGTGCTCAAGATTAGTGACTCTTCTGCGCTCTCTCTCGCTCCCCTCGTCTTCTTTAGAGCGATGGAAAGGCAGCGCACAATGACAGCGAGTGAATCAGGAAGCCATTCAGGCTCTACTGAGGAGCCCAGTTTCACGGCTGCTAAATCCCGTTAGCACATGCAACAAAGCAAGAAGAGGCTCAACCCCCCACTGCGGATATCTCCGATTCACTTTGCAACGCCACGCGCTGAAGAATGAATCCGTATGTGATGACTGTCCTGCTCTTTCATACTGCTCATTGTCATCTTTGCACAACCCAATTCCATGAAACAAAAGCTCCACTGTAGAGTGAGCAAATCCAAGCAAGGCTGCTGTGTGACTAATGCAAAATAACAGTTCCTCCATTTCTGTCCTTAACAATATGTAAAACCTGATATGAATACTTAAAGAAAATAAAAATACATTCTCTCTCTTTTACTAACATTTATTTATGAGCCCACTTACTCCACTGACCCAGTTGCTCCGCCATCATCTGGGTCTGTGTGTTTGTGACTCGAGAGAAGCAGATACAGCGTTGCCTCTGTGATCATCTCGACTTTAGACGAGGTGGGAAATCACCATTTCCATAAAGCTCCTTTTATCTCCCCAGACCCAGAGTCCTCTTGGACCCCTCTGGTGAAGCACAAGCTTGTTAGCCTCCGTGGCTGCCAGTACGTCAACCCAGTTTGGAGCTGCCTCTCCTGCATAGGTTTACTGGGTTTGCTGGCTCACCCCTGGGTTGCTCTAAGCAGTGACTAATCCCCCATCATTTCCCCAGCGAATACTCTTTGAGGGTATGGAGAGAGGGAGGGGAGCGATTGCACTATATTACAGTATACAAGTGTTCTGCTGAGCAAACTCTCTTAGACATTGCACCATCTTCTACGCAGGTGATTAGAGAGCAACATTTAGGTCACTGACAGGCAGCAAGGTTATTATTACTGAAAGTAAACAGTATGTTTGGTGTCTGACAGACAGAAACCACACGTTTGCTGTCTGTTTTACAATCTAAATCAAATATTGTAATGACATAATCAATATAGATATAGGTGTATCTAAAACTCACATCAGTATATTTCCCAGGTCTTTTCTACATCAGCATTTTTCTTATACTCCATGAGCCAGACTTTGTCCAAATCTACATTTTCCACAGGTTTATGTCTGTAGCTAATATATTTAATAACTTTCATTTAAGCTAGGATCTTTATTAAAGGAAAAAAATATAGTTTTTGCTTTTATACAGAGCATGAGATGAAAAGATTGATACCCTGCTGTCTGTACGGTAAATACCCGACAGCAGGTTAGCTTAGGTTAGCTTAGCATATAGACTGGAACTAAATCTGCACACCAGGTCAAAAGCTCTAAAGCTCACTTATTAACACACCATGGTAAATAAACCCTCTCAGCTAACTCTCTGCAAAATGTCAAACTTTTCTTGCTTTAAGTGTCCTTGCGAGGAGTCTTACTTGATAGATTTAATCCACTCCTCTTTCTCTTCTGGCGTGGGAGCCGATATCCTGTACACCACATGGTTTCCCTCAACAACACGCCCATCCGCCTCCGTCTTGCAGGCTTTAATCACCTGGCCCTTGTGATTGGGGTTATACAGCTCAAAACAGTTCTGGGGAGCGGAGAGAGAGAGCAGGGCATCAATGATGTGCTGCTACCTGACCAAGAAATGTACTTACAATGTACACATACAACAAACACGGTAACGGAGGAGATAAGATACTTGACGTATGATCTAAGGGTGAGATCTCTAATGAGGCAACACTCACAGGTTTCCTTGGCTCCTCCACCTCCCTGATGCTGAGATTCTCCAGCGGGATGATCCCACGAGGCTCCTTGTCCTGAAGGAGAAACATGAAGAGGGAGGAAAAACAACTGAGTAAATACTAAGAGAGATTGGTAGCAAAGCAAGATGCAAGCAAACAAACAAAATATATAAATCAGAAAAGTAGCAAAGAGGCAGGAGGAAGAGAGCGGTGTATTCAAGACTTGTATATAAAAAGAAGACGAGAAGGGAAGACACCGACAGAAAGAAAAAGGAAAGAGGAACGTAGAGGTGTGAGGTCGGGTAAAGAGGATAAATCCTCTGTGATATGTTTTGCTAGCGTGGAAATCAACCCCTCCTCCCGTCCTCACTGCTCTTTAACGGAGCAGATAATGTGTATGTGTGGAGGAGTCAGACCAGAGGACGGGACATAATGAGGGTGTCCTGAAGGATAATAACAGGCTAGAGAGAGAACAGTGCTGATGCAGCAGCTAGCAGGGACACAGAGGCAATGATAAAGATCTTCAACCGACGCACATTTAAACTTATTCATACAGAGAGCGACACGGACAGTCACACACACGCAGTGGACAAAAGCAGTCATAAAGAGAATTTGTTATGGCGTTAAATTCTGAATCTTTCACCGACCTGGATTTGATACCAGCCCGTATTAATGAAGCGTATTTTCATCTGTGGACACACACAGAAACCAGCAGATGTGCTTGCAAAGAGGCAGGTTGCTGAGCAAAACATCATCTTAGTGTGACACTCACTGTTGTGTATTCAAAGTAGTAGAGGCAGTTGTCAGTCAGGATGAACCACCTTCTCTTCCAGGTTTTCACTCGGCCCCCTGACAGGAAGAGGAAGAGGAGACAGGAAGTCACGCAAAGGCCAAAGTGACAGACTGGCTGTCTCCCATTGGGTCAAAGAGCGGGGATGTGACACTCATTAATGAAGCCGAACAAGATCCACTCCGTTTTCTTATTCTGCACAACTGTGTAAACATGAAATAATATTGTGTGGATATTTGCTGCTACCTCAGACCTTCAGGCTATGAATCAGGAAAAAAAGACCAAATGATGCATCTTAAATTGTTTCTACATGTTTGTGCATTAGTTCATTGCTGTAATTCAATTTCCTGTGTAAAAAAAGGCTTCTATAAATCACATGATCATGTCATGTGGAAATTAGACACATTCATACTTAATAACATTGAAAGGTCAGATAGTTTGTCTGATCTAAAGTGGTGTGTATATATATGTGTATATGTTCAACCCTGCACTGAAACTATTCTAAATGTTTGTATGCTTCTTTTGTTTTCAGGCTTTTCGAAAATAAATATTTCTCTCCATGTTTGAAGCGCAGTGTTTCAAGGTAATGCTGCTGTGGGCGGATGTTCAAATGCAATAACGAGAAAACTCACTTTCTGAAAAATGCAGGCAAGCCAGTTTGAAGAACAATGAGTAGTGTGTGATTACCATCAACCACCACTATCTCTCCTCACGTCCAGCTTTGATAAATGATGACTTACGCAACTAATGAATTATTGCTGACTTTGCTTATTTGTTAAAAAGGCCACAGGATAAAAACACATTGGCTCTCAAGAGAGGGGAGCAAACAGCAGTTGATATGAACCTGACGTGGCACCTAAACCAACCCTGAAGGAACACACATGTAGACATGCAAGCGCGCGCGCACACACACACACACACACACACACACACACACACACACACCAACGCCCTGAGCAAACTCACCACCTTACGTGTTAACTTAACAAACTACATCCAAAAGAAGCAAAGAGAGAAAGAGAGCGAATGCAGACGTCCAGCACTTTAGTTTGAAGGCAGAATCTAGCCTCTGGCAGTGACTGCAGTGTTGGAGGAAATCACCACTTGCTGATACTGAGGAAGCTCTCCTGGTGGGAGACACATGCACGTTGCGTGCATGCAGGCTATGAGAAAGACATTTAAATGCAAACCTGAGCTTACACACACACACACACACACACACACACACACACACACACACACACAATCACAAAACATGGATCCCAAGTCAGGAAGACATGGAGAGCACAAGAACTTTCTGATCATTTCCCTGTGAGTGTGCTTTGACCTAACATTCCCAATTAGTTCCTCTCAATACTAACATCCCTTACGGTCACAACACTTTCCACTGCAGCGTTTCCTTCCTGTTTTCACATGAGCCTATATGGGCCGCACGCAATTATAAAAGCTCCGGGTTTCTTTACATTTCAATAGACTCTGGCTATTGAATTAGCACGGCCAAATTTCCGCTCAGCAAAGAGAGAGATTTTGCTTAAAAAAAAAGAAAAAAAAAAAAAGGCATTTATTCCTTCACATCCTCCGGGGTTTATTTTTAGAGAGTTAAATTAGAAATATTACAGCAAGAACTGGCGCGGGGAATGGCTCCAGGGAGGAACCGCACTAGAATGTAATCATGTTAGGTCTGTGAGCCACAATGGGGCTATTTACATTCGCAGTCACTAGTTTGATGAGACTAAAGAGACGTTACACAGAGTGAGAGGAATGTGCAGGTCAGAGCCAGGTGTGTGTGTGTGTGTGTGTGTGTGAGAACATAGTAATAAAACTGATCACCTGCAGTGCGTTTGCCCTTTAACCTTTGACAAGCAGTATCCAAGCTATTAAACATTTTATGTTCAACAATAAATCAACCTCTTACAACAATTGAAAGTGTTGAAAAAAAAAGGACTTAATGTTAACGTCTGTAATGTGTTGTGAGCTGCGGAGCGATGGAGCGAGGTCCAAATCAAAAACACGTGTAAACAAACAGGAAAAGAATGGTGAAGGAATGTTGTAGAAACAAGACCAAAAACTATTACCTCATTGAGAAAGCATACAACCACATCCAATCCCTGGCACACAAAGACAAAACTCAAACAGAAGAGATTATTACAGCGCATGTTCCTCCCTAAACTACATTAAGACGAAGACAATGCACATAAAAACATGCCTTCACTATTTTTCACACACTGTAAAATGTTTTCTAGAAGAACCGATCGTGCCGTGAGAATGTGCACACTTTAAGCATACTTTAGATGACACGTATACCTGCTTTTTCTAGCCTCGTGTGATACATTGAAGAGGAAATAAAACGTATGTGACCATGTTTTAATGATGGGTAGTGATCGGGTTACAGTTCCAGTAAAACACCAAACCACATCTGGCTTTACGCGAGTTCAGAACTGGGGTGAGTTTTACGCATCTGGACTTTAGTTTAACAGCATTGTTCTAACACATTAATGTTAATTCAGGTCAATTTATGAATATTACACAAAAGTGTGATGATCTGTTCCAGTTCATTGTGTCTAAAATGTGACACCTCACCATCAAGTGAGAGAGCACGAGTGATATTAACCTCACCTCGTGTTCTCACTCGGCAGTGAGAATAAGGCCACACTTGTCGTGAGGGTAATAAACCAAATAAAGTCATCCGGGATGTCTTGCACTAACCTAATTTAAGCAGCCAGCCCTCTCTGTCTGGGTTGAAGAACGTGTGCGTCAGGTCATTCCCATCGTCCTCTGGGATCTTAAAGGGTTCGCTCTTGATGCTGTCGTATAGATTCTGGACAGAGACAGAAAAACAAAAAGAGAGGAACATTATGAAACCGAAACACTTCCAGTCACCTTCTGTCTCAAAACATTCAACCCAGCTTTCAGATTAAACGTGCGTTAAAGAAGACATTGACAGATTCTATTTTAAAGTTGCAAGGTGAGAGACAATGATTCATTCCTCTTTGACCCCGGGAGGTTTAACAAAGTGTCTTTTTCTACTTAAAAGAAGCCACGGGTGCTGCGGTAAAGACGTCAGCCTACACACTATGTGGGTAGATGAACTTGCTTTTATGCGTTTTTCTTTGAGAGATTGTGAAAGATCATTAGCATCAGTGTCTGGAGAGAAGATCTAATTCTGCTGAGCTGCAACATCTCAATTAGTGAAGCGCGACTCTCTGCTTTGCTACATAGGTTTTCTTTTCCTGCGCACAACCACACTGGATACATTTGTCATACCTAGCAAACTAATATAAAGCCAAAGCTCTCACCCTGAGTAGCTCCTCCGGGAGGTCTCCTCCCTCATTGATCCCTCTGTTCATGGAGATGAAGCGCTCAACGGGGGGCTTGTCTCTGACGTTGGGATTGTGCAGGCTTGTGTTCAGCATAATGATGGCAAACGATAGGACATAGCAGGTGTCTGTGGAGGTAATTATACAAAGCGTGTCACTGGGAGACATAAGATACAGCACACGCCCACGACTCTGTGTGTGTGTGTGTGTGTGTTAGCACACGTTTTCTTGCTTGGAGTTCATGGATTAGTTAATAAATTATTAAAAATATTGATCTTTTGTTACTCAGTTATTGATCTCATATCATAACGACTATATTCAGAACATGCACTATATTTAAATTTCAAATATTTTCATTGAAACGTGAAACCAAAAGGTGTATCAGTGAGCTTTACAGTGGAGTTATAATAATGGCATTGAGACGACAGCACAAATGATTTGTGATAAATAAGACATAAATCCATCAATAGATTTTCTCATCACAAAAATATATGTCTGTCTAATAAAAAGGGGAGTTTAATCAACAAAGAGCACCATATTCTGGGACACACAGACTCGTGGAGCCATCCAACACCACATACAAAACCCACCGCTCCTGTGAGTCCACATCATAACTCCTGCTAACCTCCACCTCATCCATCCACACACTAACCGCCCCAGTCAACATGCCCCGCACTGTAATTTACGACCCTGAGCGCACCGGTCCTGAGAGATGACCAATAACTAAGTCTGGGTGTGTCACCACTGCACCGCATCAATATTCATGACCCGAGCCGTCACCTGCATCCTCCTCGACACTCGCTCGGTTAACGCAGGAGGAGCAGACGTAGTGCGAGGGGCCCCGAGATGGCGCTCATGACCACTATAGACCCGTGATCGATTTAATTAATCATCACTGCTGGAGACACAAATAGCGATCACACTGAGATCAGTGAGGAAGTTGAAAACGGATGAGTAAACAGACTGTTGGTCCATTTATGATTCTCTGAAAGCAGATATCTATGTAGTCGGAAAGTGCTCATATTTTCCAGTGTTTTAGAAAACATGTCCAGGCTTGTGGTCACATTTTAAAGATTTATGCAGCCCGAACAGGTCCAGATGTCTACTAGGGGAAGACAGACAGTCAGAAACATTGATCGGAGGCTGAGGTGGTCTGGCTGGCCCATATTATCTGCCCTGGACTGTCTAGTTGAGTCTGACTCATATGTCTGCTGCAGTGTGTGGGTGTTCGTGTGTGTGTGTGTGTGTGTGTGTGTGTGTGTGTGTGTGTGTGTGAGTGTGTGGTACCTGTGGACTGGAAGACTCCAGGATTGCATTGGCAGTACCTAGAGGCAAACGCCTCCATCATACGATCAATCTTCTGGGCTTCGCCAGGAAGTCTGAAGCTCCACAGAAACTGCCTACAACAGCAGGAACAGAAAGAGAGAAAATGTAATGCCAGATCATGAAATATTGATGCCAATGTCTATTACAGTATGAGGATATTCACTGTAAATTACAAACCCAACCACATTACTAACATTAAGAAAGGGAGAGTCTAAAAGATCATGAATTAAGACTAAATGATTTGGCTAAAACATAAACAAAAACTCTCTTTACTGACTCCTAAACAAGACGCTGTCCTCAGAACACGTACTGCCACGTTCACTTCAAATCAGAGTTATCGTAATAGCATTCACATCAACATCAAAGTCATGATTAGTGGAGGAACTGACGATAAATGATACAGAAGTGCCTTAAAAACTAAACAAACATGGACGTCTAAATCAGCCAAAGTCTGTCATGAATGTAAAACCCAAAATTAATTTATATAGTGTTCAGTTAAAATTCAAGTTGATGTTAAATTGGAAAACTTTTCGGAAAAGTTGAAAATATCCCGTGCGCTTAATAATACAGAAGAAAAAAACAAACATGGATGTCTCACATCAGCCATCACTCGAGGTAATTTAATTGAATCGATATAGTGTTGAAGCCTTTCTACACCCACACAGGTGTTTTCAGTTAATCTGTCTGATGAGACATCTTCACAGGACTGTGTGGGCGTGTATAGACTAATTGAGTGACATCTTTCCTGAGTCTCCTGTTAGCTGTTGAGCATGTTAGGGCGGGACGAATTACACCTCGATCATTCTTATTGGTAGACGATCAGCCAGAATAACTGAGAACACCTGAGTGGGTGTTCAGAGGCTTTAAGATTTAAGTTGCGAAGATGAGAATATTTCCGTGAATGCAGCATAATCCCCTGTGACGACCAAACGGTGTGAAAAAAACACCATCATCCCATTCATTTTTAATGAGACCAATGTGGTGATGCAGTGGGGTTGCCAATGCAGAGGCCTTCAGCAAAGAAAAATACAGGGTCATCTGCAAAGAAGTTGAACCTGGCTAAACCTTTGCTGTAACAAAGCCTCATCTGTCAAATGATAGGAGATATCCAATCAGCCAATTCAATAAAACACATGCTAGCATACATTCCCGGTATATTATTTGTAGCATGCATGACATAACTCTACTGTTTACCTCGTGCGATGTCCGATACAGAAATAACATTTGTAGTAAAATCTTCACAGTATTAAAAACTACGATGCAATTTGTCTTCAAACTGACGACTGTATCACTCAAACAGGACTTGGATCACATTTCACCTGCAGGACGACACCTACACTGATCCTCGCTTTTCTTTCCCGCAGTGCTATGCTTGGTCGTTCACTCACCTTAAGGCTTGTACGAGGTTGAGGTCTGCAAACTCATGAAGCTCCACAAACGCCTGAAGGACCTTGATGTTAAAGTCATCCCTGGAGGAGAGGAAGGTCACATGTAAAAAACAGACGCCAGACTGTTAATACGTTAATACATTCGTCTTGTGGGGTCACGGTGAAAAATAAATGCTTTCATGTCATAGCACCGATGCTTTTCAAAGAGAAAGCCACAGTGCATGCAGGCAGCATGAAACCCCTGTTGTTATGACGCTCCTATCCCCATTGATTTCCCTTCGATAAGAACCACATGTCCGCTGAGTTATTTTACTGGCACTGTCTCCCGTCGCTGCTCTGCTCCATAAATCCAGACCACCAATTTCCTGGGGCTTTATGCCATCGTCTGAGCACATGCAGTGCAGATCTGACGGTGAGATGGGGACAGGAAAAAGAAAGGTGGAGGAAAAACAGAGGGAAAACTGGAGAGCTCACCGTTCCCCTAAGTAGTCCCCTATGACTGTTTTGTTGAGCCCTTCGCCTTTGTAGAGGAACTGTGAGATGTCCTCTGGGGTGTGCTGGAGAAGATCGTTCTCCAGAAGAAACTGGATCCCCTGTTTTGAAAAAAGAGAGTGCATACTTGCACTTCAGTTACCTCTTTTGGTCTGTTTTAACAGACCTGATGGGACATTGTTATTGATTCTCACATATAGTCAGTTTAGGACAAGGCCTGACCTTTTTAGGGTCCATGTTGAACTTCTTCCTCCCCATGGCGATCTGTTTGTTTCTTTGCGTGGTTTTGCTGAATTTAAAAAAAACACACAAAAACATCATGTGACAGTTAAGACTGTGGTGTTGTCCCCATGCACCTGAGTTCAGTACGTCAGTTTGGGATAGGTTCGTCCAGTTTCTTTATTTACTTCTCTGTCACCTGAAGACTGAGTGGATCTAACCTGAGAGAACATGAAATAGGCTAAACGTGGCTGCATGTGACTCATCACCTGCACTTGTGCATGAACAGATGAACCCATCCTGCAGCCATTTGGATGTCACTCTTCTCCAAAAACACATTTTGCACGCACACCACAGGGAAATCTCAACCTTTGTGTGTCTGTGCATGTTCCCTACACTTCCTGTGTGCCCAAAATAGCCCGAGCCCCTTTGCCAGCTGCACCTGAGACACAGAATCTCACTCCACCTCATCTACCAATCAAATGAAATTCTCTGAATGCAGACTGTTTGGCTAATGTTTAGTCAAGGGACTGTCCCGCTGCACTCCTCAAACAAAGGGGATTAACACACACACACACACGCACACACACACACACACACACACACGACGACAGATGTGAGGCTCACAGCGGAAGCGACAACATGGCTCAATGGCTTTGAAGAGCAGATTTGGCAAAAAGTAAGAATGAGTCCTGTAACGATTAGTCAATGAATCAAAAAGTCAACTAAGAGAAAATAAATCCACAACAGTTCTGATAATTGATTAATCATTTAAGTCGAGCAAACATGCCAAACATGTTGGTTCCAGCTCATCAAATACGAGGTAGGCTAATATTTTGAGGGGGGGGTTACTAGTTGGACAAAATGATGATTTGAGGACTTCACAATTGGCAATGTGAAGTGGTGATGGCTGTTTTACAATATTTTCTAAAATTTGACAGACTAAGCAATTTAGAGCTGCAACAATTAGTTGATTAGTCGAACTTTAGATGCAAAAATGGAAAAACATTTGCTGGTACCAGCTTCCTAAATGTTAATATTCTCTGCTTTACCTGATTTGATATATTATATTTAACATATTTGGTTGTTGGAGTATTTCTTGGACACAAGGTTCTTGGGCTCTGGGAAACTGTGATCGGCAGTTTTCTGACATGTTACAGACAAAACCACGAATCGATTAATCAAGAAAACAATGGACGGATTAATCAACAGTCAAAACATTCATTAGTTGCAGCCCTTAAATCATTTCACTCACCTCTCCCCCACACAGGTTAGCTGCTCAATCTCAGTCATTACCTCTGCGATCTCAAACTTCAGCCGCTGCAGAGAAGAAAACAGCAAAACAACTCTTATAAGTTTCCTTATTGTTAGAAATGGGTGATATGGTTAAAATCAATATTACACGACCTTAACAGGATCATTGTAAGAGGGCATTTCTGCCTTTATTTGACAGTGGACAGATTGGAGGCATCAGGAAACGCTCGATACTTTTCATATTTGGACAAAATCACATAAAGTAATGTTTAATATGAATATGTAACTTTGATCAGCATCACATCAGATGAGCCTTCAGACACGTAGAACACTTCGATAACTGATTTTACAATAGGATCATATTGCCCATCCCCACTTACGGGAACTTTCTGCTGCTGGAGCAAATAAAAAACATAATTCTTGCTTCAATACTCACTTCGATATCATCCAGAAGCTCCTTTTTCCTGCGCCGTATATTGGACAGCTCATCTCTTTCCTCCAAAGACAGGTCCTCAGGTACTGGAAAATACAGAGAGAAGGGAAAATGAAAGAGCGTGTGTGAGCGAGGGAGGGAGGGAGGGACAGGGTTATGAGGATGGATTAATTTAATTCACCTTCCCACCAGCCAGTCAGAGTCACCGGGAGTAAACCTGGCAGTGTTCAATGGATCCATACCAAAGACATTACTCATGACTTCAATGAATACACAAACAGACAGGAGCTCAAACACTCAGACATCTGTTTGTAAAAGGTGAACTCAGTACATTCCTTCATTTTCCCCTCATGATTTACAATTTAGATCTTTGCTCAGAGTATATTTTGTCCCATGCAAAGTTTATTATCTGCTCAGCAAATCAGCAAACACACCAGTAAAAAAGAAAACAATATAATGCACTGTTGAACTCTAACAAACAGTTCAAACGTGGGACAGTTTGGAGTAATAACAGAAACTAATGTTTCCACTTATCGATCATCACATTGTTTTGTGAATGCTACGAAGTCTTTGGAAAGTAGTCCGCATGGTTGTATTGAATATTATAGTTAAGAACTGTCTATTGATATTATGTTGATTGTAGCTGCTTCAAGGTCTATAACGCTGTACATGTCTATATACAGTTTGTACATGTAGCCGTTTCTTTGCATCTCATGTTTGTTTCCCACCTTTAAACATCACTTCTTTACAGTATATACAGTTATGCACTTAAAATACACAGCAGGTGTTAGATGTGGATTACACAAAAGCCACATATGAAAAAAAACTCTCATGAGAATTTTCTTCCAAACCATATTAAAACCACAGAAACTTCCCCACTTCCATAAATTACATCCTGTGTGTTTGACACACACACACACACACACACACACACACACACACACACACACACACACACACACACACACACACACACACACACACACACACACACACACACGGCGAGGCCCGCCCTCTCAAATATTGGCTTTTCTGATAGCCGACTGTCGTCGGGCCCTCATTTGGGGTAATGAACACTGCAGAGAGAGGCTTCATGCAACATGCATGTTTTACTGCATGAGCACACAAACACAGTATACACAGGTGAGTACACAACATAAACGCCATGCATACGGAATTTACACCTCACACACATGACATTTATTTCATTCTCCACTGTAGGTCCCCAGGAGCCACCGCCTTATCTTTCATTTAGCCACGCCACGTCAACCCCCCCCCCCCCCCCCCGACCCCTCGGAGGACCTCCCCCTCTCTCCTCCAACACATCAGAAAACAGCAATCCATTTGAGAGCGAGCTGACAGGAAGTAGGTCACTTTCACATGGAGCTCCACCAGATTGTGCTTCTCCGACGCCGTTTCTCCCACACATACACACATACACCCCCCCCCCCCCCCCCCCCCCTCTATCTCTCCCTCTGTGCCCGCCTCCACCCCAGCGCTTGAAGTGGGGGTGAGAGCAGATTCAAATCCCCAAACTGAATCATACCGCTAAGCAGCTTTGCAATTCAGACGTTTTACCCCTAGTTGTTTCCCCTCGGACTGTAAATAATGGAAAAAGAAAAGTAAAGTTATTTCCTCTCCTCTTTATCTATCTGCTGCATCTCTCGCTCTCTTTCACACTCCTTAAATCCTCCCCTCTCCTCAGTCTTGCTCTGTAAAACAAAGTGACAGAGGCAGTGCGGACTATTAGGTTGTTACGTTCGGAGGGCTTGGAGCGCATGTTATCACAAACGAGCAGCCAAGAGAGCAGGGATCCAGATGGCTGTGTGATCATTCCTCTTTCACACACGATGCTCACACCGTATCTACCAACGTCTGCACGATGAAACAGAACGAGGCAGGCTGAGGAGAGAGAAACAGAGCTTATTTTCAACAGATACTAATGGGGTATAAATACCATGTCTACCAAGCATTGTGCAGTTGATTGATGACTCACATTTAATTTGTCAAGATACTAAAAAAAAGGTTATTTTACTGGCTTGACTGCAATGGAGAAAAGTCTAATGTGATAAAAGCGTAGACTGTAAACGGCAGTAGAAGTGGGTGGATGAATTGGACGCCTGCAAAGGGTTTTGTTTTCCCTTTATGTTTTTCTTCTTTCCTTTATGTATTTAAAATACCTTAAATAAAAGACTTAACACTTCACAATAATGAATTCCCATTGGTTTCTCCTTGTCCATGCAACATGAGTTTGTAAGGGGCCCAAGTGAAGGGTCTTCGGGGCTAAAAAAGTGAAAAGTTGCAAAAAGTCTGCGTATAAAGGAAACGAAGACACAAAAGGATGCTCTCAACGCCAAACAGGAAAGAAAGAGAAAGACTCAAGAGAGATATACGAACAGATACCAGACATCGTCACACTCTCTGCCTCCTTGGCTTCAGTTAAACGGCCTCATAAAGCAGTAATTGTGGAGCAAAGAGACCCCGCAGGCAACCTACGTCTGTAATGCGCAAAAACAACTCCGCCATTCCTCCTACTCTGGCTGAAAGAGCTCGTCTGGACCGGAGAATGGGACAGATTGTTTGAGGAGACCAAATCTGTTTTGGGACTGGACATCTCGTGAATTATGCATGAAAGTCTAGAAATGAGCGTGTGTTTTTTGCGAGTGGATTCTCATAGAAAGCAGCGCTCCCCGTTAAAAAAGAAATCCATATTAAGTTATTTACAAACCCTTCATGCTTAACCCCCGGCACGGCCACATAGATTACCACTCAGCCCTTTTCATATTATGACTCAGGGGTCTGCTGTTCCAGCAACAATCAATACATAATCATAATAGTTCAAACTTGCATGCTTAGCCTTTTACCCCCCTCATCACTCTTAAAGCATGCACCAATGAGTAACTGCCACTGTGCTCAGGTTTTCTGGTCCAGATTTCCTGAAAGGAAAGGTCATTGGGTTTGAAACTTCCTCTTTTCAATGCAACATTGCCTTTTAGCTCGCTTGTCTTGGTCAACCGTAACCAGCCGGGTCAACACCTTCTCAGGGAGTTAGGGAAAAGGGTCACGAGCAAAGTTCAGCCGGGGTCAATGTCCCGCAGCGCGGACATGGTAGCATTTAACGACCATATGCTATTTAGAGAGTTTATCGTCCAAGTGAGCAGAATGTAATTGAGTAGGACACGGACTATGTAATGATGGTGACAGCCTCAGTAGTTTTCATTAGTTAGTGGCGGGGCCATGATGTGTAGTCATGCTGATGCGCAAGTCATATTTAAAGATTCATCTCAGGGGATCCGTTTCAAATATTGCAGAGAGTAATAGAACATGAAGGAAGAGCTGCCAGATATAAAGCTGCAGGTGACAAAGCAGCAAACCTTCAAACAGTTCATCAAGGTACACAACTCCTTTTAATGTGCAGCATGAGATCGGATTGTAGTTGGTCACAGCATGAGGGAAGAAAATGCAAATTATTGACTCTCTTCTTTTTAAAAGAATAGTTACAGGTAGTAGAAAAAGTCAACTCAACGGGTCAACGTGCGGACGATCCCAGTTTTGTTTATCAAGCTTTCTGGGTGTGAATTCACCATTCATATCTATACAAGCAATTCGTTTGGAATGAAATTATTTAAACACAAAGTTCTTCATAGATCTAGCCACTTAATTTTGCTCTCACATTACAATAGATTGATGCATTTAAATCTAAAATGTCCACAACTTACTTAATATTGCAATATATGTTGCAGGAACCAAAATCGCAAAGTAAGAAATGTTCATGAAGTAGGGAAACTTGATCAAATCCCTCTTTGTGTGTCTTTAAGTATTCAGGACATTGTCAGTTCAGGTTTCAGTTGGTGTATCAGCACCATCTCATGATTCCATTAAAACTGTAACTGGCGGTCTAGACGGTCACAGGGGTCATAAAAAAAGGAAAACATGCAATCGCATGCAAATTATTCTATCCACCGATAACAGAAGCTACGTTTCAGCTCAATGGTGTTCTTTGTCAACTGTAAAACTACTCAGGGTCTTGAACAATACATTACTTCCCCGTTCAATCCACAGTCCAGACAGGAAGGTCTCGGTCCTGGTGCAGTTCACGTCTAAAGCTTCTGGAGGTACCAGAGAGATTGGGAATCGGATTCACGTGACCGACGGGCCTTTATTGGCAGATGGCAAAGTCGAACGACTAAACGCCTTTGACAGTCAAGCCTTTCCAATATCCTTGGCATCAAGGTCAGTGGAGAGGTTGATTCTGCATACTGATACCCCTACCGTGTTGGTTATGTTCGCTGAATAGTCAACTTGGAGAAACCACCAGAAGTCTTTTAACCCTTACACCAATCCAACTACAGTCAAACTAACTTTGCTCCACTTGGCTAAAAACCTCACACAACTAAACCCGTATTGTCCTGCTGAGAGTGCCAACCCCTGCCAAAGTGAATTGTTTACACATCACCAGGCTTGATGTGTAACAATGGAGGGGATGTCTGCTGGGATTAGGACCACTGGGCCGGTCTTCCCGTAACGACGACAACGCCGTAAACACGAGGAGGGCAGAGGCCGTTCCCACCGCAGGCTAATTAGAGAGCACTGACACGAGTTCACAACAATAGAATGTGGCGTGGTTGCTGCATGTGTGTGTGCAACCCAGCTGAGTTAAGGGTGATGTAAGAAAGCCGGGGCGAGTGCATCAGTCGGTGAAAATGAGACAGCTCAACACGACCGCTTTCACAAGATAAAAATGTATTTATCTCCTGAACAAAATACATACCGCCTTTTCCCCTCTCCAGTTCCCATGATGACTCACATGCCATCAGCCGAGGTGTCTGTGCCCGTATGAAGGTCAGTACTGGAAGTGTCAGTATTGTGTCTGAACCGCTGGAAGAGCTTTTAGCAGCTTTTAGCAGCTTGTTTCGCGCCGGTGTGCCCGTGAGATTGTGGCTGGTAGGTGTGTGGTAATTGTTTACCCCTCTCGGCGTTACTCCTACTCACAGCTCTCAAGCATGCTGAGACACACGGGAACACACACACACAGCATGAACACACACACACACACACACACACTTTGACAGTAGAGGTATGGAAA